CCCCCGCGCACGCCCCACGGGCCGATCTCAGCGGGATGCAAACGCGGCGGCTGAAATCACCCGCGAGGGGTGCGCGCGCAAAGACGCACGACCCGAGTTCCCCGCCGACACCTGGCGATCACCACAACGATAACAATAATGGGGCTTGTTTCCTTGCGGCAGACGCGCATGCCACTCACCGCGCCGCCGCCCCCAGTCTTCAGAAACTCATCAACCCCAGCCGAACCATCCAGCAACCAAACCCCACTCGACCTTTGTACCCCCCCCCAAAAAACCACACACATCAACAAACACACACACATACACACACACAACACACACACACACACAACGTCTCACATACACACAAGCACCCAATCTCACGCACACAACCACATATACATGAACGAAGCCCCAACCCCCACCTCGTAGGCCTCATTGAGCAGGATGCATATGTTGTGGCCGACGTCCCCCAGGAAGTCGGGGTGGCACTCCTTGCAGGTGGAGCGGTACGCACGCTTGATCTCCTCGGGGGTCGCGTCATCGTCCACCTGGGGTGACGCAGGGTTCGTGTGCGTGTGTGTGTGTGCTTGTGTGTGTGTTGTGTGTGTGTGTTGTGTGTGTGTGTGTGTGTGTGTGCTTGTGTGTGTATGTGTGTGTGTGCTTGTGTGTGCTTGTGTGTGTGCGTGGGGGGGGGCGGCGTTCAGCGTCAAATGCACGGCGGTGGGGGGTGCTCCGGCCTGTGCGGGGCGGGATGGCCGCCACGGACAGTAACCTGCAGCCCCGTGGGAGTGGGGGAGTGGGGAGGCCACGCGGCGGGATGGATGGCACACGCGCCATCATTTCCTTTGCCGCGCGCGCTTTCCCCCAAAGGTGCCCGCGGCCCACCTGCTGCCGAGGAGGGGCGGACACTCAGAGCCACCGCCCCGCCGCTACCGGCGCTCGTCGTCAGCCCGATACGCGCCCCCCCACCCAAACCCAACCCCACGCACCCATCCACACCTGTCACCCCGGATGACTCACCCCCAGCAATTCGTAAAAGTCCACCAGGCCGGACTTCAGCACAAACTTTGAGATGTCAGGCGCCTGCGGGGTTTGAAATTCGAAAACGCCGCCGGCGTCGCAGGGCGAAGGAATCAGGACCCCGCCCGCTGGCCGCATGCGCCGCATGCGCTCGGCCCCCTGCGCCTGGCTTTCGAATTTGCGGCCCCCGGATGCAAATCAGATGGGGGTTGGGTGGGCCCGCCGCGCCCAGGGTGGACTGCGGCTGGGGGCTGTGAGGTGAGGCCGCTGGCCCCCCCCCCCGCACCTGATAAGCATCCTCGTAGGATGCCTCTGCAGTGGCCGGCCCGTCGTCAAAGCCATCGTACGAATCGTAGGCTGCGGCCACCGTCGCCGCGGCGGGGCGGCGGCGGCGGGGGTGAAGGGCCGCCGCGGGCGGGGCGGCGGCGCCCGCGCCGCGCGCGCT